AATATGGTTTTATACTTATTGAATGAACTTAGTTATTGTACCTGTTAAATTTCTTTAGATTCTGATCCTCCATGTTTAAACAATGAATTACTTCCAGTCCATCCATTGTCTCTGAAACATGGTCGCACACAGGACTGTATAGCAGGGCTTCCAATCTGGAGATATCTCGAGCTGGTCTGAGAAAATATCGACAAATCACAATGAAGAGAAAAACTGTGGGAATAGACATCAAGATATACCAGTAATTCAAAACAGATGTGAATGTTAACACCAAAAAGAAAAAAATAATGCTACATGATGAAGACACGAATCTTATCGGTAAAGTATCGTCCATTACACCGATGTCCTTGGAGAAACGGTTGATAATTCTTCCAACAGGATTGGTGTCAAAGAATGTTACAGGTGATTTTAGGACAGCCATTGTCATCTTGTCGTGTATATTCTCAGAAGATCTCAACAATGTCAGCAACATAAACGAAACTTTTAAAAAMGGCACKATCAGATTTCCTGCTAAKAGACCTCCATATATACCAAGAGCATAGAGACTTTTCTGTTCTTCATGTGGCATTGTAGATATAACCTTTAACCACCAGAAAGAACTGAAAGGATACGCTAATTTAAAAGAATGAACAATTAGTATTGAGAATTACACTGTATAACAAGTACAAACGACTCATGTTGCGGAATGCTACAGAAATGCTCAAAAAAAGATTAATTGTATCAAATGACGTTAGAATGATCATCGATGCTTATGTCTAATGGTTTTTGCTTTGAACTCGTTATTTGCGAGCTTGCATTCATTAAAAATGCACGCTGAATCATTACAATTTGTTTACACAGACATTAGGGGTAGTTCATTTTAATTGTGCTAAGTTGATAATTTTCATTCTTTCTATAAAAAGTTTACCTTCAGCGATTACAGCATATAGAAAGAGGCATATCACTAGCCAACTCGGTAGACCCCATCTAAAATATCTCCAGTAGAGATTCAATGAAACTGATCCCCAAGCCATCTCYTCCTCTTCCTCGCGTAGATCAATTAATTCGCTTTCTTTATCCATTTCCTCCTCTTCAATTTTATAGCTGGAAGACAACRTTGGTTTGCTGCCAGATTTAATATKTTTGATCTTCCCAATCAGGTCATGCAGACCCTGAGTTTCAGATAGATCTTTGTAGGATCCTTGGGAGATAATACTRCCTTCTTTCAAGACCACCACTTGATCAGCTCGGTGAAGATGTTGCACTTGATGTGTTGCGAGGATCCTCATCTTTGTTGACAGCTCTCCACATATGCACTGGTTCAAGATGTGTTCTCCAACTTTTGCATCCACAGCACTCAATGGATCATCCAATAACACGATGTCAGCATCGGAATACACTGCGCGTGCCAAAGCTACTCTAGCCCGCTGTCCACCACTTAGCATGACACCACGTTG